AGCCCTGATAGAGTATTTTTTTGAGAACATCAGGCCAGACCATACTCCTGTAGAAAGGGAAGAGGTTTACTCCTGAAAAGAGAGGCTAGTTCCAGTGTCACACTTATCTGAGGAGGAGGCGGGTTTTAGCCAGATAGGACAGAACTCCTAGCCTTTCTTTCTATCTCCCTCTGAACTTGGAGTTGGTTCAGCTGGCTTGGGAGCAAAGCTTAAAGGCGGCTTTGGACACACAAACCCAGCCCCAAAGAAGGTAAGAAAGCATCCGGCAAGATATCTCAAGCTGAAGACTAACACATCTTACTTTACAAAGCGTATTTCTCATTTTATGTTCCTCTCTTACTTGATGCTTTTGTTAAAAATCTAGCCTTCTGTGAGGGCCTTTAAAAATGCTTCAGCTGTGCTGGAGGGAACTAAGGTCATGCTGGGCTGGCATGGTAGGAGAGGCGTGTCATATGAGGCCAGCATGATCACGTCTGGTGTGACTCTTGGAGTGAACTTCTCAGTTCACATCCCTGGCCCCTTCCCAGGGACTTGCCCTGATTCACTGAGGTGAGTTCCAGAGGTCATGTCTTTACTTGGTGACATGAGCCAGGGCTACTTTCTTCAGGGCTGAATGCCTAAATGAAACTGGGCTAATCATATTGTCTCTCCTGGAAATGTGGACATCTGTGTTCAGAGGACCGGCCCCTGAGCGTCCTGGAAGCTGGGTCACAGAGCATCCTAAAGGGAAAGTCCAGATATTCCCACAGTTAAGGTCTGTGGAGCCTCCCTACTTCTTACCCTGCTGAGGTTTGGTTTTCAAACTCAGATCTTCTCAATAAATTTTTCTTTTGACTTAAACTGGACAAAGTCTGTTTCTCCCCCTTTAATCAAATGAATCTCAATCTCAATTAACACATAGCAGCGGCAGTCAACTTCTTTTTTTTTTTTTTTTTTTTTTAAAGAAATCTCCAAAGACAAGGTCATTCAGTGGTAACCCTGGAGAATTCTCAGTAAAATAGAGGTACAGTTACCAAATAATCAGAGTAGATCCCAAAGGTCAAAATTTGGGGAGAGAGAACCTCAGGGAAGCAGAGTCATGATGGACCAGCAGCTGAGCACCAAGGAAAAAGCATTAAACAGGCTGCCCAGCAGATGGTCAAAATAGGGGACAGGTATGAGCAGAGTTTAGCTAAGGAGCTAAGGTTCAGAGGAATGACCTCAGGCTTAGATAAACTGAAACTCAGGGCAGGGACACAAGTTCAGGGTGACAAAACACTACCCAGTGGGACCACAGGTCAAAACAGAAGCCCAGTTACCAGAACTGGAGCACGAGGTCAGAGCAGGGCAGCTCACCAGTGTGTGGCCCATGCTGCTGGACGCCGCAGTTTTCTGACAAAGGTCAGGTCTGGACCCAGAGTCTGGAACAGGGCTAAGGCTGCAGGCAGGGGTCAAGAACAAGGCAGCCAGGGTGTGGGGACAGGGAGTCAGTGCTAACACTGCAATCTCGCAGCCTTCTTCTCCACAGTGACACAACCCTGGGGCCTCTGCTCAGCCCCTGAGCTTCCAAGCAGAAAGGGCTGTAGGAGAGGATGAAGTAAGTCAGGGAGACAGAGCCACTGTCATCAGCCTGGAGCCCTTGTCCTGCATGGAGTGGTGCGTGGCGGCAGAGGAGAGGGAGAGCTGCTTTTGTTTGTTTATTTCCTCATAGCAACTCACAAACTTAGCCAACTACAGATAAAAATGAAGTGCATGAAAACTTTCCTAACTTCCTGACTCAGAATCATTACTAAATATATAGATCAGATGTAGGCGGACGTAGGCAGAATTGTAGGTTCCACCTAACAGTCCTCAGACACTGCTGCCCCTGGGCCCCTCCACGTAGAAAGAGCTCCCAAAGGTCACCAGGATGTGCTTGCCATTTTGCTCAGTATTTTCTAAAATAATCAAAATGAAAACTAAAAATTCACCTTCTTCATGTCTCCTAACCTCAGAGGAGCTAAGCACAACCGGAGAGGCTTGGTCAAAAATGATAATAGATTGATTGATTAGTTATCCTCTCTTTAGTGCCCTCCCTCACCTTACTCCTCATTTACTCCTGTGACAGGGCATGCGGAGGCTCCCAGGACTGAAGATACGGCTACAGTTCCCATGGGGTGCAGGTGATTTCAGCAGGCTGAGACCAAGGTTCAGCCCAGAGGGCATGGATGACTTGGCGTTTCTATGAGGGGAAGGATAGAATGGGTCACGCATTCTGAAACAGATTTGCAAAGGTCTTTAGAAGTTATCTGGCTCCAGTGTGCACCAACTGATGAAACTGATTTATCTAGCAGTTGGCAAAGGGTAAGGTTATTCTTAATGAATATTCCCACGAGGGCCCAGGATTAGGCGTATCAACATGTTCATTCCTAGATTTCAGCTGTGCTTGAAGAAACTGGTTGAGGGGAAGGGAGAGGGAGTGGAAGCAATTGTAGAATAGAGAGGATCATATCAGACCACATCATGGAGTTAGTGTAAGGTTCAAAAGAATTTGTCACCAAGCTCCACAAAAGAAATAAAAACTTTTCCCTTCTTCCTTTTGCAGTCTACCTTTACTGAATGTGGACTGCATAAACTCATTTGTTTTCAATTTAACCTCTATGTGATTAGTGAGGTACGTTGCCAGAATACACAGAAAAGAAAATAAAAATACTGTAAATCAAGTTTCCCCATTCTTCAACCCTGCCGCCTTTGCATTTGGGGACCTTCAAAGCTCCTGGGAGGATGTGGTTTTGACCCTGGGCTTGCTCATGTACAGCCCTTAGAAGAGTGCTTGGCACATAACAAATGCTGTGTAAGCATTTGCGATCAGTAGTAACATTTGCATTCACATTTGTACCTTTCGTGTAGAATTCCCTACCCCTAATCCAGCCAACTCCTACCTTTCCTGATAGACCATGGCCTTCATCACTGTCCAGGGCTTAGGGCCTACAGAATTTAACTCTGAATACTTTGATTAAAATCATTGTTTCTACAGATGAGAAAGTTAAAAAGTACTCCCCACTTGATGTAGCTCTTGGAGAGGGAACTTGAAGATTAAGCTACTCTCAATAATTAATACTGAGAAAAAGAAAAATGTGCAGGCGGTCCTCACTGCCATCCCCTCTTAAATTCCATCCATTTGCTGCCTGGATGGTGCTGACAAACCCCTATATTTCACTTTTCACTTCATTGATTCGCTCATTCAACAGTTTCCCCGCTGATTCATCCATCTCAAAGTCAACTTGTTAACATTTTGCCTTACCAATTCAGGAACGCTAGTGGGTGGAAGAAGGTAAGTACTGGTTACACCACAGCACGAGATGAAAAGATGATTCATTCCTTACCATTCCTCTGCTTTCAATGACTTTTGTAAGAATACCATGTAGCAAAAGCTGAGGCACCCTGCTTGCAGTCAAAAATGTATTTTTGCGCTTTTTTGATTCATGGATCCATAGGATTCTACTAGACAGGTCCTCTCCCATTTAGGATTGTCTGTTCTCAATATCATGGACAAAATACAAACAACTGTGAAAGGCAGCTGTTCACAGTGAAGCAGCCACAAAGCTAAGCACAAAGGTATTTTGCAATGGTTTTTGAGCTTCAACTATCCAACTTGATTCATTCCCTGTAAGTCTAGTTTTCCCTAGCTTGCAAACATAAATAAGGAAGGTCATTTTCCTATTATTTACAACAACTTCAAGACTCCATTTATCAAATTAGCTGGGCCACAGTCCCCTTCCCCAGGAATCCTCAAACGTGGTGGTATTTCATGTGCTTTCCTGAGTCAGTTAATCTCTGCTTCCACGGGCTCAGACCATCAATCTCCACTCTGTCCACTGGCCACTTAGGCCAAATGCCAGTTGCCGTTTACTCTTCTAGAACTGCGACCTGTCTGTGGCTAATGCTGCTATTTCCATGCCACTCTTGGTTGAGGAGGGAAGGGAAAAGTGGAATGAAGGCACTCCCTCCCTTTTCCTTGAGTGTCTGGTGTATAAGAGATATTTCCTTGACACAGATGAAGCCAGGCTGTAACTTTTGGGACAACACTTCATTTAAGGTCCTGAAATAACAGGAGGGAATAGTAACCTTGCAGCTCCAAATGTGGTTCATGCAGCAGCAGCCTCAGCATCACCTGGGAGTTGGAGAGCAATTCAAAATCTCAGGTCCCATCCCAGTCTTTTTAAACAGTCTGCATTTTAACAAAACATTCAGGTAATTTTTATGCATGTTAAAGTTCGAGAAACACGAATTTCTTTTTCAAAAATATTTTTTATTATACTTTAAGTTCTGGGGTACACGTGCAGAACATGCAGGTTTGTTACACAGGTATACACGTGTCATGGTGGTTTGCGGCACCCATCAACCCGTCATCTATGAGAAACGTGAATTTTGACACAGACAAACTTTCATCTGCATGCACATTGGCCTCTCTATATTCACTCTCCACCCTTTTCTACCTTTGTTCTCTGCTTAGGATGTTGACCTCTCTTGACTGCATGGGTCAGGGCCTTCTTTCCCTATGGCTTCAGAGGATAGGAGGAAAATTGGGTTAGGTTGACCTCAGGCTGGCTGCAACCCTCTGGGTTGTGAACTGCCTTGAGGAAGCCCAACTCGCTTCCTTGGTCTTAGACCTGCTATGGAGGGCCCCATTTCCTTATCCAGAAATCGCTTCCTTTCACATATGATTAGTAGTATGAATGTCCACCCTTCTCAACCACTTTTATGGTTTCCCCCAGACCCAATAGAACAATAACATTAAAATAGACTGGGTGAGTGGCTCATGCCTGTCATCCCAGCACTTTGGGAGGCCTGGGTGGGTAAATCACCTGAGGTAAGGAGTTCAAGACCAACCTGGCCAACATGGTCAGAAACCTCGTCTCTACTTAAAAAAATACAAAATTAGCCAAGCATGGTGGCACAGGTCTGTAATCCCAGCTATTTGGGATGCTGAGGCAGGAGAATTACTTGAACCTGGGAGATGGAGATGGCAGTGAGCCAAGATCGCACCATTGCACTCCAGGTTGGGCTAAACAGTGAAACTCCATCTAAAAAAAAAAAACAAAAAACCAGTGGCCCGATATTAGAACATTCTCCAACATCCACTTATCTAGTCTTGGAGAGAAGTTCATCTAAGACATTCACAGTCCTGCCTGGACCGATGAGTGAAATCATAGTCTTCTGCTTTTGAATAATCTTTTCTCCAGTGTTAGGGCTGGACTTGCATATCCTTCCAGCCAGCATAAACAACATAGCACGTAATATCCTGAGAAACAGCTCAAAGTGGAAAAAACATATCTCCCCTTGAACCCATCACAGCTTTTGAAAGTTATAGGAGGGCCTCCACCCTTGCCCAATTATAATCCATTCTTCAATCAGGAACCAGGGTCCTCTTCCTAAATTGCCAATCAGATGTCACCCTTCTGCATAAAGCTTTATTCAGATTCAGTTTGTACATAAAACATAAACCATGGTGTTGCAGTTCAATTTTTCCAAGAAGTAGATCCTGAGATGAAGGTCAGAATATAGGAGATTAATCAGGGAGTGCTCTCAGGGTCAACTCCTGTGGAGGACATGAAGGAGGCAGGATTGGACAGAGAAGAAAACAGTTGCAGCAAAAGCCGCCACCAGTCCCACAGAGCTTGGGAACCTGCGTGACTATGCAGCGTCATCCTTAATTGAATCAAAAGGAGCCCAGTCTTTGTATCTTAGCATTGCCAGTCATTCCTGGGCTGCCCTCTGGAAAACAAGTGTGACCTTGGACCACCACCAGGATCTCTTCAGCCAAGGGCAATTCCCAGTGAGACTTCAGCTTCAAACTGGCATTGCCCACGCTCTTGGCAGCTGGGAAAAGGAGTGCTCCATTCCAAAAAGTGGTGCTCTGGGAGTTGGACCGGATAGCAAAACATGGTCTACTACTCATGATCTGTAAAATTCTCCAGGATCTGGCCCAGTGTACCTATGTAACGTGGTCTTACCCACTCACAACCCACTGGACTGGAGTATCTTTGGCCTCCATCTGGATTCCTCAGGGACTTTGTACTTACTGTCCTCTTACCCAGACCACACCCTCCCTGCATCTTTGTGTGGCTGGTGCCTTCTCCTTCAGGTCTTAAGTCAGAGATCACTGCCACAAAGACACCTTCTTTGACCACCTATTTAATGTAACTCTCACATTTCATCTGCTTGTGGCTGTTAATGTCACATTGCTTATTTCTTTCATAGACCTTATCGCAAAATGGCATTATGTATTTTTGTCCTTGTTTAACTGCTGCTCAAAAGCTTCTTAAGGGCAGAGACTTTTTGTTGCTCTTCTTTATTCCTTTCCCCCAATGCCTAGGGTAGTGAGTAAAACATAGTAGATGCTATAAATGAATGAATGAATGAATGAACAGTGCATTCTGAATTGGAGTTGTTTTTATACTATCATGCTTTTACAGGCATGGCTTCCTCTAAGTGGAGCGCATTGTCTTTCCTCCTAACAAATTTGCACTTGACTCAAATGTCAGCTTGTCTGTAAAACACTGTCATCTGCTCATATGACCCCCTTCCCTTTCTCATCTTGCCACCCTCAGCTCTCTGTGGCTAGAGTAATGCCTAGCACAGAGGAAGCAGCGATAACAGCACATTTATTGAACGCGCACTGTGTGCCCAGTATTGCTATGTGAACAAAACAGACAAAATTCTTGCCCTTGTGAAATTTATATTCTAGTTGGGGAAGACAGACATAAACAAAATAAATAATTTAGCTATATACTTTTGCAGAAAACAGGGATAGAGAATACTAGGTGGTATTGCAAAAATTAAAAAGAGTAGCCAGAGAAGGCCTCACTGGGTCCTGAGCTTCTTCAAAGAGCAGCAAGGGAACCAGTAGGACATGAGCAGTCAGTGAGGGAGAGAATAGCAAAAGACATCAAAGATGTAACAGGGCCAGACCATGAGGAGTCTTGTAAGTCACGGTCAGTGAGAAGGGAACCATTGGAGGCTCTTTCTGAGTAGAGGAGTAACACAACCTTACTTAGGTGTTGAGAGTGGGTGTATGTAGCCAGGTGCCTGTAACCTCAGCTACTTGGGAGGCTGAGGTGGGAGAACTGCTTGAGCCCAGGAGGTGGAGGTTGCAGTGAGCAAATATCATGCCACTGCACTCCAGCCTGGGTGACAAAGCAAGACTCTTGTCTCAGAAAAAAAAGAGAGAGAGAGAGAGCGGGTGGGATGAAGGCAAGTGTGGAAATCAGGAGACCTCCTGCGACCACTGCAGTGGCCCAGGTAAACTTGGATTTGGCTGGTGTCACTGGTATGGTAAAAAGTGGACAGGTTCTGGATATATTTCTAAGATAGAACAATCAAGATAGATTGGATGTGAAATGAGCCAGAGGAGTCAAGAACTACCCAGCACTTTCATCTAAGCGTGGAGTTGCCATTCACTGGATAGGTAAGATGGTAGGACAAGCAGGTTGCTGAGGGGGAGAGTAGAAATAAGGAATCGGGTATAATAAGTTTGAGATGCCTAAATAGATACCCAAAATGGAGATATTAAGTTACTCACTAAACAGGAAGGAACCTGCGATTCAAATGCAAAAAAGACTTTTCTGAGAATGAGCAACTGCAGCAAACCATGTGATCGATCAAGAAGAAGCATTAAGAGAAGAATTCAGTTGCAATACCCAAAACATGGATTTCTTAACAATATATTTTTGTATAATACTTTAAAATTCTAAACTATGCCTGGACTTCATTATATTACATGACTGCTGCGTTGGAAATATCTTTGTGTGAGGGAAGATAAAAGAAGCCAACACTTAATGATCTTTATTTTCTGTTCCTTTTCTTTATCTTTCTTTTGCCCCTCTCCCTTCATTCTCCCTCTCCTTCTCCCTCTTCCTCTCCACTTTCATATTTTCATGTCTCCTGCCAACAGTCACCCAAGGTATTCTAGGCATTTGATTCTCTCCCCCAAAACCAAAATTCCTCCTTTAAGAGTTTTGTGAAAATAATTAGAGGAAAATACTTAGCACCACTTTGCGTTTCTTCTGGGGAATACCAGTGATATGGTTAGGATATCTGTCCCCTCCAAACCACATGTTGAAATGTGATCTTCAGCACTGGAGGTAGAGCCTAGTTGGAGGTGTTTGGGTCATGGGAGTGGATCGTAAGTGGCATGGTGACTTCCCATAGTAATAAGTGAGTTCTCATTCAGTTCACATGAGAGCTGGTTGTTTAAAGGAGTCTGGCACCTCCTCCTCTCTCTTGCTCCTTCCCTCACCATGTGACATGCTGGCTCCCCTTCACCTTCTGCCATGATTGAAAGTTCCCTAAGGCCCCCACCAGGAGCAGCTGCCAGCACCATGCTTCCTGTACAGCCTGCAGAACCATGAGCCAAAATAAACCTCTTTTCTTCATAAATTACCCGGTGTTAGCTATTTCTTTATAACAATGCAAATGAATTAATGCAACCAGGAAGCAGAAGAGAACACTTCACAATATACAATTAAACTACAAAATTAGATTGGATCTCAGAAACACAAAAGGTCAAGGTTTTCATCATGAAATAAGAAAATGACTATATTTAAAATGGCAACTATATTGTTCTTGTATATTCATGAAGAGGGCAAAAAATGCATTACAACTTTTTTAAAACTCATTGTAGGAAAAATTATTTTCTTATATATTTTAATTAGTAACGGATACACAACAAGGTTTAAAATTATTTGGGCTTAAATATTTTTAATTACCTCATTGCTTACCAGTACCTGTATTTGGTTTTAATCTTCAGTTGGAGCATTTCCTAATGTCACTGAAAAAAACTAAATTCAATAAATTTTAAAATGAGTTATTACTTACCTGAGGTTATTTTTATAAAAATAAAGAAACATTGGGTCACACTGTAATTGGTAGGACTGTTTTCTCCTAATGGTAGATAATAGTGTGTTACATAATTAATGCTATCTTAAATTTGATGAGTTACAGTACTAAACTAAGTATATATACAAACACACACAAGCCTAAGTTTGTGCATATGTATAAAAATGTAGACATAATGCCATTTAGATTAGTACCATAAATGGGTTAATAATTTAGTATCAAGAATCATAGATATATTTGTAAATGGAGAATAGATTTATTTCTTCGGACAAGTATTTTTCCAGAACATATTTGTTGAAGGCATACGACATGGTTTGGATATTTCGTTCCTGCCAAATCTCATGTTAAAATTTGACCTCCAGTGTTGGAAGTGGGCCTAGTGAGAGGTGTTTGAATCATGGTAACCAGGTGGTGGATCATTCATGAATGACTTGGTGCCGACTGTGAGGTAACGAGTTAGTTCTCACTCTATAAGTTCACACAAGATCCCGTTGTTTAAAAGAGTCTGGGATCTCCCCCATCTCTTTCTCCTGCTCCCTGTCAACATGTGACATGCCTGCTCCCCTTCACCTTCCACCATGAATAAAAGCTCCATGAGGCCTCGCCAGAAGCTCTGCAGATGTCGGTGCCATGCTTCTTGTACAGCCTGGAGAACTGTGAGCCAATTAAACATCTGTTCTTTACAATTACCCAGTCTCAGGTATTCCTTTATAGCAACGAAAACAGACTAATAAAGGATAGATCAGTTGTGCCAGGTGCTAAGAATACTACAGTAAAGAAAACACACACAGTGCCTACTCTTAGAAATTTCAGTTCAGTTAGGGATATAGGCCATAAAAGAAATAATTAAAGTGTCATAAATGTTTTAATAGGAAAAATTAGGTATGCAATATGAAAATAGAGCAGAGAGACTTGAACCTATAAATTCTTGTTGAAGGAAGTGATATTTGGGACTTAATCTAAGAAAAAACTGAAGTTAGGCAGTAAATGTGAGATAAGTGCCTGTATGTTGGGTGTGGTGGTGCTGAGATATTTTTAATATCATATTTACTTGTGATTTACCAAGTCCCCTTTAAAAAACATATACTGCCATTCTTTTTTGGAAGGAGAAGCAGGAGAAATAAATGTAAGCATTAATACTGCCAACACCAAGTTCTGTTGTCTGAGATATCTACACATTTTCCTACCAATGAAAAGCCAGTCTATTCTGAGAAGCCAACATCCCTCATAGAAAGGTTAACCAAAATGGCAAAACCAACAGATACTAAGTAGAATAAGTCAAATATTAGGTGCTGTCTCCATCCTTAGTAGGAACAATATTCTGAGATGCAAATTTGTTTTTATTCTGCAGCTTGACAATAACTTTTATGGCCATGGCCAGTTTCATCTGAAATGATTGGTTCCAACTGATCTAAGTGAAAGGAAATACTTTAGAGTTTTGCACAATGATCACTACCTCTCAGACAATGAGTTGGCCCATTCATGTGATCTGCTGGCCAAGTCCACCTCTTTTCAGCCATATAATCACACAAAGGATCTCTAGAGGTCCCACTCAGATGAGCCCAGAGAAAACTGAAGAAGAGACAGCCAGTCCTTAGTGGGCACAGGCTGGGACCATTGGCTCAGACAGGCCTCTCAGGACTTCACATCTCTGCACCATCACCTGTGCCTTTAGATTTCATCACTCTACACTAATTTTCAGAGTTGTACTGTAAAATCCATAGGAAACTCTCAGAAGCTACTGAAAAGGTAAGAAAAAATGAATCACAGTAGATATGGTTGGTGTAGTTAGAACTAGATTCAATTTTTTAGCATTTATTATGAATTATCTCCTCCAAATCAAAGGAAATTGGCAAACCTAAGCACTAATGTAGACATAGGGACAAAAAGTCCAGCAATAATGAAAAGTAAAATAATTTATGAATATTCTAGATGCATATCTCATAATGTACATAATAAAAAAATGAGTTTTAACTAAACAATTTCATGAGAATAAAACTAATAATCCAATCTGTTGCTGACAAGTGAACGTATGGTTTAAAGGCCAAAAAGCTAATTAAAACTACAGTAAAAGAGAACTTGCTAGTGATTATTGGCAGGATACATGTGACTGGATTTTTTTTTAAGTATACATATATAGGTATGGAAAGAAGAGGCAGAGAGAAGGAATGGGACAGAATACCACAATTTCTCTAGAATACAATCCCTTGGGTTTAATTAAGGGGAATAAAGAGAAGATAATGGAAGATGTGAGCCCTGTACAAGATTTGGACTCTCATCTAATTTAGAAGAATGTTTACAGAGGATGTTACATTGAGTGATGCCAAAACAGAGGAGAGAAATGTGAGCCATAGCACAAGGTAGAATATGAGAAATAGAGAGAAACAAAGCAGAAACAGATGGGACAATGTTTAATCCTTGTGGACCAGGTGGAAGTGAGGAGGGATGGACAATCCACAAAGAGGGAAGTCTGCAGAAAGCATGGAGAATGGCAACTATGGGACATGTTGAAAGAATATTAATCAATAATTATCATCAAGCGACAGGATCCCAAGCTGGAAAATAAAAAGGAAGAGCTCTGCTCAGAGATAAACTTCAAATGTAAACCAGTGTGGTTTTCTCGTTGTTTGTACATGTGGATTTGCATTGAGCCACTCCATTTATATAGACAGTTGCAAACAGTGTATGGTTAGCCTAATGTGGCCAGCCAGGAGGTATTATTTGTCCTGCATAGTGATTTATATTTGTTTATGTTCTTATGCCAACATTTAAATATTGGCATCATTTGCTTTCTAAAAAATAACAAATTTCTAGCTTCTCTTTAAAAATTAGAAAACCTGGCAACACAGGTATCATTTGCCCAGTTTGCGCCAATCGACACCAGCCCATTTCATTTGTTATTGTTACCTGACCCTGCAGACACTTCAGTCTGTGACCTCCTCTTCTGCACTTGTCACCAGCATCTGACATTTTCAAGACACCTAATCAGAGACAGAGCGGGCCTAAGAATGCACAAAATAACTGATTGAACCCATAACTTATTCCTTACTAGCAGTACTTTATTATAGCAATTTTAAAATTCTGTTAAAGTTAGTTATTTTTCTGTCTTCCTACTAAATTCAGAAGTCAACTGGGGTGGCAAAGGGGAGCTATTTAAAACAAAACAAAACAAAAAACAAGCTCAACTAGAATCTTATCCATTATTTCCTTCCTTCCCAGAACCTACTATAAGCAGTAAGTGATTAAGCAAATCTTGTAAGCCACAGAGACTCCCACAGTAACCAAGCACTGGACCAGAGGCCCAAAACACAAGCTGGGCCAACACCCATGGAAACCAATGAATCACTGGTATATAGTCCATCTGCTTTGTGGAAACTACCTGAGTCTGTTCCAGCCCACCTGATACATATAATTTGACAACTGGAAAGGAAAATGTGGGTGTGTTGATATGGGCAAGATACTTCTGAACCAAAAAAGAGAACTCCAGAAGAAATGTAAGGGAACATTCAAATAAGCTATATATAGTAGATTCCAATTTTAGTCACTACAACACAAATGTTTGGGGGGTAGTGTTGGCAGCAGGGGTGGAGAAAAGGCAGTGCTCTTTCATTTCTATAGTAATCTGCTATTCTCAAGCTCCCAGTCTTGATGATTCAGAGGTACAAACTTGTTGATTAAAAAATGTTTTTAAGAATTTTTTTAAAACCACAGTCTCCTCTAATTTAAAGCACATAAGTTTGCAGTCCCTTCAAAGTTCAAACACTTTAGTGAAGCTATTTCTGCCTTTACAAGCAGACTTCCTTCCCCCTCCTCCCTCTCTCAATATGGCATCTGGCCTCGGGTCACAGGGCCTTCCTCTGAATCACCTGGGGATGATATTGATGACTTCTTACAAGGTGGCTGGTCTGATCTTGTCCTAGCTATACTGTATTACATGGCATCCTACAGTGTGGCTAATCCCACAAGTCCTTTTGGTTATGGGATGGTTCTGCACTACAATTCATTCTGATGCTAATCACTGCAGTTAGTGCCAGATTTCTCAGATTTTAGGGCACAATCTAAAGCAAAACTGCCCCACTTCAGATGCCAGTCACAAGTTTGGGGATCCTCAGGCCACTAGCACTTCAACTGGCTACAAATCCAGAAGGTCTCCATGACCTCCCTTAGATTTGATAATCCGCTAGAATGACTTACAGAACAACTTGCAGAACTCAGGGAAAGTGTTCTACTTACAATTACAGTTTGATTATAAAGGATACAAATCAGGGCCTGTCAAATGAAGAGACTCATAAGGAGAGGTCGAGGGAAAGGAGGTGGTCCCAAACATAGAACTTCTACGCACTCTCCCCATAGAATTACATGTCACCCTTCTAGAAAATCAATGTGCTCACCAATCAGGAAGCTCCACTGAGTTTTTGTGTCCAGAGTTCTTACTGGAATTTTTCTTTTTGAGGCAGGGTCTTGCTCTGTTGTTCAGGCTTGAGTGCAGTGGTGTGATCATAGCTCACTGCAGCCTCAACCTCTCAAGGTCAAACAATCCTCTTGCTTCAGCCTCCTGAGTAGTTGGGACTACAGGTATGCACCACCACACCTGGCTAATTTAAAATATATATTTTATATTATTTTTTGTATATATATATTTTGTAGAGACAGGGTCTTGCTATGTTACCCAGGCTGGTCTCAAACTCCTGGGCTCAAGTGATCCTCCTGTCTCAGCCTCCCAAAGTGCTGGGATTACAGGCGTGAGCTACCAAGCCTGGCCTGGAATTTTATTATGTAGACAAGATTAATTGAATCATGGCTACATGATTGAACTCAACCTCTAGCCTCCTTCCCTGTGCAGAGGTTGGGAAGGTAGGCTGATATCCTGTGGCTCAACCTTCTAACCACATGGTTGGTCTTTCTGGCCTGCCCCTATCCCAAGTCACCTCATTAGCATAAACTATCAGGGGCCATCATGAATGAAAAAAGATATTCTCACTCAGGAAATTCCAAGGGTTTAGAAGTTCTCCCCGGGAACCAGAGAAAAAGACTAGACAAATTCTTTATTATATAATAAATAGACACCCACTACTAAAGCTCAGGTCACAGCTATAATCTCCCATTTCAATGTCTCTGCATTCTATGGCTTTCCAGTCTAGACTCCAGGCCTCTTCCAGTCCACCTTCTCTCAGCAGTTCTGCACCAGCTCCCACCCAGGGATGTGAAACTTCTGGTTGCTTTTCTGCAAACATCCCCCTATGCATGCATGAGACCCACCAAGGCTTCAGGCACCTCCCTCAATTTGAAATGGAAACTGGAATCAACAAAAAAGAATGAAGATGGCTGGAAATGGAAAAAATATAAAACACATATTAATTTTTTAGTGTCTTCAAATGATTAGCTTTTTAGGTTATTCAAAAGATGGGTATGTAAAGCAAATATATATCGTGGGTTTTTTTTACAGTGGGTTTTATAATATACGTAGAAGTATATTAAAATAGCAAAACATTTAGAAAGAGAGAAAATGAAAGTATGTTATCGCAAATTTCTTAGCTAAAGTAGTATAATACTTTTTTAAATGGGCTACAATAAGTTAAAGATGCATGCTGTAAACCATAACAGGTTTAGTTAATGTAGGCTTTGAAATAAGAAACAATGATTTTCAAAGCAAAGAATATCTTTGTCAGTTCAAGCTGCTATAACAAAGTATCATAGTCTAGTCTTGGTGACTTAGAAAAAACAAAAATTTATTTCTCACAGTTCTAAAGGTTGGAGGCCTGAGATCAGCATGCAGACATGGTTCGGTTCTGGTGAGGTCCTGCTTCCAGTATTCAGGTTGCTGTCTTCTTGTTGTATCCTTCCATGGTGCAAAGACAATGAGAGAGTTCTCTGGGGTCCTTTTTTTTTTTTTTTTTTTTTTTGAGATGGAGTTCCACTCTTGTTGCCCAGGCTGGAATGCAATGGTGTGATCTCGGCTCACTGCAACCTCCACCTCCCAGGTTTAAGCAATTCTCCTGCCTTTGCCTCCTGAGTAGCTGGAATTACAGGCATGCGCCACCACACCTGGCTAATTTTGTATTTTTAGTAGAGATGGGGTTTCTCCATGTTGGTCAGGCTGGTCTCGAACTCCCAACCTCAGTTGATCCACTCGCCTCAACCTCCCAAAGTGCTGGGATTACAGGCGTGAGCCACTGCACCCAGTCAAAAGAAAGAGTTCCACATGGCTGGGGAGGCCTCACATCATGGCAGAAGGTGAAGGAAGAGCAAAGGGACATCTTACATGACGGAAGGCAAGAGACCTTGTGCAGGAGAACTCCCATTTATAAAATCATCAGATCTTGTGAGACTTATTCACTACCACAAGAACAGTATGGGAGACACCACGTTCATGATTCAATTTTCTCTACCTGGTCCTGCCCTTGACATGTGGGGATTATTACAATTCAACGTGAGATGTGGGTGGGGGGGACACAGCCAAACCATACCAACACCTCACTTAAGGGAATGCGATAGGAGGGAGTGGAGGGGACAGAAAGACCTTCCCATTTACACTTTTTACAAAACATTTTTGTATTTTCTTGTATTTTTATGTTTAAAACCTTTTAAACAAATATTTAAAATACTCTTGATTAAAATACATACATACTCCTCTCTTGTTTTCAAGCAAGAATGAAGTGTCGAGAGGGACATATATCAGGTAATGAGGGAACCCAAACTCAGCTGCCCTGAGACACAAGACCCAGGTCACCCTCATCTCATGAGATAATATCTGGGAAACCCAAGACAGATTTTGCTGCCATCAAGATGGATGGATAGTATCGGGCTCTCTAACCCTTCCCCAGACTCAGAGTGCTCCTATGGAACTCTCCTTTCTCTGAATGGCCTCAGCCCTTCCAAATTCTACTGCACAACTTAGCAGTCAATTGTGCTCATATAACTCCAATTCATGTTTAGAGAGTTTGTCTGTTGGTTTGAGTGTTTAGTTTCTCAGCACACATTTTCTCATATACGCTGTATTATAAATTGTGGTTAAATCCTCAAAACTTCCCACAAAAGGCACTTTAAAGTTAATGTATTTGAAATATGTACTACCAATAGTACCATATTAGCTATGCTTAGCCAGCATTTATAACTCTGTTTATATGGGGAAATGCATTCCATTTTGCAACTAGAGCTGGCAGGATTGCCTGGGAAAGAGGAGAGTTGACCGTAAGAGGGAGGGCTTTGGATAGTAGGGATTCCTGGGATTTCTTAACTCCATGGATGTCAGAAGATGCACCTGAGTTGGACATCTGTAGCCCATCATTCATTCACCCTTCATCTGGAAATGACACTTTGGTTTTACTTCAGGGAACGCTCCCACTGTAACCCAATGTATGTGGTTAGGCTGAGCTTATCCCACATACACACACCCATGACTCAGGCAGTACTGGCCACAGTGATTGATTCAGAGATGGCCATGCTTTGTCTTCCCAGTTAGATTATACACAACATGAGGACAGGACGCATGTCCTAAGCTCACTTGTATCCTCAAGATAATACAGCACAGTGCTCAGCAGTAATGACATAGTCATGTCCAGGCAAGGAGGAAAATGGACATGTATTGAGCAACAACCATGTGTTAGACATTTTACGTAGCTTTAGCGCTAAATACCTTTCTCCTACTCCATGTGATGCCAACCGGGGTAGTGTTTTCCAGAGACCGTTATGTTCTGGAAATAAAATCCTACTCAGTTTATTAATTTTAAAAGGTTTCACCTTGAGTTTTTAATGTGGCTATAAGAAGAAAAATATTTATTTCTTTTAACTATGTTATAGTGGTACTGTGCTCATTTGTCAAAGAAATAGCAATAATGATGCTTGTCTTGACTCACAGGTCAAAAACTCCCTCTTAAGAGCTTTAGAGTTTAAAAGAGATAAATTTTGTGAGTGAACTTTGCAAAGCACTAAACAAATATTATTACTGCTATTATCATTTCCATTATTTTTATTGTTATTATTTTCATCTTTTCTTCTCTTATTCATTCAAATGAATAAGGCATCTGAAAAACAGATGAAGACTGATTGAAACCACATTTCACCTAAGCTATAGACTTTTCCATAACTTGAGGTAAATAAATAGATTAAACCACATGACACACGCATGCACCACCTGCAAAATAATCTTAAATATGATTATTTTTAATACAAATAAAACAAATGCTAATTTTCCCTCTAGGGAAGTCATGGATTTTCTGTAGCTTGGCAATATATGTCTATAATAAAAATTTATATTTGTGTTATTGGTTAATAGCTTTGGGTTAATCAATGAAATCATTTACCTCTATTCTAAACACTGCTTTTTTGCTAAAATAATATTTCCATTTTTTTACATTGTTACCTGAATATAACTTTTAAAAACTCATTACGATTAGCTCAGCCTTGAGTTTTTTTGGCAGAAGCCTCAGAGGCCAGCTACAAAAAGCTTCATTTCTCATATAGAAGTCTGTTCCTCATTATCTCAAATACATCTCCACTTAGAAACTACAGCCTGCAGTCTTTCAAACATCATTCAGCCTTACACAAGGTAATGAACTTTCCCCACCTGAAGGCCCAGTGGGAGCTAGGGGCAGAAGAGGGAGGATAATCCAATGCCCCCCTGTCCTTGTCTAGTGTCCTGGGGCATCCTGCCTCATTATCTGAGAGAGAGGACAAGAGACTGTCCTCCTTCCAACAGAGAACACACCAGCAGGTGAAAAACGGGTGGCCTGAACCTGCTTTGAGTGAAGCTGTGTGCTCAAGAAAACATATGTGTGGCATGTGGGCACCTGCAGAACCAGCATGGTCAAGCCATGAATGCTTTTAAACCAAGCACCTTGCTTCGTTTTCCCTTAGCTTAAAAAGTAAAGCAAGAAATGAATAGTAAAAAGCTCCAGGTCCAGCACTCTATCACAGGAATTTTCTAAAGGAGCTGAAAAAATCTGGATATGAACTATTATACTGGAAAAGCCTATTATAATGCAGGACTGGGGGAAAGCCCAGCAAAACACAAAAATTAAGAAGGGAAAGTCAACAAGAAATAAATTTCACAGGTCAACTCAGTAGCAACTCTGTCTGCAACAAGTCTTCAGCTCAGTTCTCACTTTTGGGACAAGTACTCATTCATCAATCTGGAGCCAACACACCAATTATAATTCCAGATCTGCTCTAACAAAGCAAGAGATCTTGAGAAGATCACTCTAGCAAGTGCTGAGGAGAGTATCTGGCACACAGTGGATATTTGATAAATATTGGCTAAATTTACATATAACTCTTTGTTTCCAGGATTCCTCATTTGGAAGTTGTCTAACATAATGGAGTAAATAACATTTCCACATTTGCAATGCATACCATTACATCACACGTCATGGTTCAATAATTATTTTCATATGCATTCTCTCATGAACTCTTCACAATAACTGTTAGACGTGAAACAAGTGTTATTATTCTCATGTTACACACAAGGTAACTATGGCTCAGGCACACTAACTAGACAGTCACACAGTTAGTAAGTTATATAGCTCTTTAA